TGCCACCCTAGCTTTTTTTCCTCTCCATTTCCTTGGAATATTTTTATTCCAACTCATCACTGGCTGTCTGTTTAGGTCTTTTTTCTGAGGTGTTTTTTTTTTTCTTTAGACAGCATATATGTGGGTAATGTTTTCTCATTTATTCAGCTGCCCTATGCCTTTTGTTTGGAGTTTTTAATCCATTCACATTTAAGGTTACTACTGATAGGTACTTACTCTTTACCATTTTTTATTTTTGTACCTATTTCTTCTCTCTCTCACTCTATACCTTCATCTTCTTAATGCATTCCATTTAGCATGTCTTGCTATGCTGGTTTGGTGGAGGTGTAGTCTTTTAACCTTCTTTTGTTGGGGAAACTCCTGGTCTCACCTTCCATTTTAAATGATAACCTTGCTGGGTAGAGTAACCGTGGTTGCAGGCCTTTGGTTTTAGTGACTTGGAGTATTTCTTGCCATTCCCCTCTGGATGGTAATGTTTCTATTGAGAAATCAGCTGCTAGCCTTATTGGAGCTCCCTTGCATGTTACTATCCACTTCTCCCTTGATACTTTGAAGATTTGCTCCTTGTCTTTAAAATTTGGCATTTTAATTGTAATGTGTCTTGGAGTGGACCTCTTTGGTTCCTCTTGTTTGGGATCCTCTGTGCTTCCTGAACTTGCATGGATTTTCCCCTCTCTTAGTTAGGGAAGTTTTCTATCCTTATTTTTTCAAACAGGTTTTCTATCCTTGCTCCTTTTCTTCTTCTGGTATTCCTATGATGTGAACATGGTTATGTTTCATGTTGTCCTGAAGTTCCCTTAAACTATCCTCCTACTTTTTGAGTGCTGTACCTGGGCATTTCTTTCTACTTTGTCTTCCAGCTCACTGACTCAGTCCTCTGATTCTTCTACCCTGCTTGTAATTCCTTCTAGTGTTTTTTTTTTTATTTCAGATATTGTATTCTGAATTTCTTCCTGGTTCTTTTTTATAGTTTCTATTTCCTTTTCCTGCTGCCATAGTCCCCACTCAGTTCCTTGTAGTTGTCACTGAGTTCCTTGAGCATCCTTATAACCTTTTTTTTATTTCTATGTCAAATAGATTGCTTGCCTCAATTTCATTTTGATCTTTTACTATGGATTCTTCCATTCCTTTCAATTGTGCACTCTTTGTCTCCTCATTTTTGGTGACTCTTTTTTTTATTTTCTGATTCTGGGTGCTCTGTTTTGCCAGCTGTCTTCATGGGGTGGACTTTTGTGGTAAGGGTTCTGTGGGACTCAGTGGTGCAGTCTCTTTGATCTTCTGATCTCCTTGTCTGGATGTTTTTGGGTTGGTCTCTCTTCCATTTGTTGGGCTCTCTTGTTGTACTTGGGCTTGACCTGTTGGTGGCTTCTTTGTTTGTGGGTTCTCCTTTCCAGTGGGCCTACTGGTAGTCACAACTCCCACATTTTCTTATATGCTGTTGCACATGTGTTGTTTAACAAGAGAATATTACCAGAATTCCAAACCTACACCAGCAAAAAGAACCCCCCAACCATAACAGCAACTCCACCACAATTGAACTAAGATTAATAAAGGTGAAGACAGATTTCAGATATTATAAGATATGAAAAAGGGAGTCAGAGATGACTAAAATCAGAAGATGTTATTGAGTGTTAAGAGGGAAGAACATTGATAAGAGTTGGGATAGCACAGAGGTGAAGAAAAGGAGGGAACAAAATTTACAACATAAGTAAAACATAAAAGGGTGATGGGAACAATAGGATAAGAAAAAGAAATAGCATTCTATGAGGTTTAAAGTAAAATTGAGAAGGTACTGGACCAACAGAAGCAAAATCGCAGAAACACCACTGCAGCATTGATGGCAACAATAGCTGAATGAAGTTTAATAAAGGTGGACAGGGAAGAAAAATATTGTAGAAAAGTGAATATGAAATGTGCACATTAAAGAAAAATGATTTTGAGAGAATGGGAAAGCAAACTAATAAGAGTAAGGAGTAAATCCCAGGTTGAGTGAAGGGGGAAAAAAAAGGAGAGAGAAAACAATGAAATAAAATTCCTCACTCAACTGATCAGGGGCAGGGCAGAGGCGAAATGGAGTAAGATGGTGGGAGTATCCTATTGGGTTTAAAGTACAAACAAATAGTGAACAAATAGGAGTTCCTTTGGAGAAGTACAGCAATAACCGTAGTATTTTGCCCAACTACCCAATGTTTATAAAAGGTGGAAATAAGACTCTTATAAAAGAGGAAAAATAATATGAGCTGATTTAAGAAAGAAGAGCACTTATATGAAGTTAGATGGAGGAGAAATAGTGATAGCAAGGGATAGGAACATTGTGTAGTATGAGAGAAAATAAAGTTTACGACAATAGTAATAAAGCTCAGGAAGATGGATAGCAAAATGGAATAAGACCAGGGAAGGGGGCTGTGTGGGATGTGGAATAACAATAATATGGAATATATATGCTGAATATAAAGAATAGAAAGTAAAAGATCATGAGTAGTGACTTAGGTGGAATACAAGTGATATAAAAGAAGAAAAATTAAAATGCAATATGAAAGGAAACAAACAAAAAACTAAAAAAAAAAGAAGAGAAATAAAAACACGCAAGTTCTGATGAAGTGCAAGGTGAAATTCGTCTCAGCTGTTGGTGTTTGTTCTGGATCTGTCTCTGGTTTTCTCTCAGTTCCAGTTCCAGGAGGAAGAGGGAGAGGAGGTAGGTCTTCCAACTTTTGGCCACACTACTTGTACCTCCTTCCGCTGCCTCTAGAGGGAGCTTCTGTTACGATCGAGTTCGTGAAGTCTGTGTCTCACCTGGGAGGCACTGTTTAGTCTTCCAGAAAAATCGTGGGTGTGGCCCTATACCTATACTTTCAGTCTTAGTCTGTGCCCAGTTATCTCCAATAATGGATAGTTTTTGCTTAAAAGCTACCCATTTCACGGGGAGCAGGAGACTATCCATGTAAGAGTGTCAGCTCTCTCCTGTTCTGTGTAGCCTGCAGCTCTCTATGTGAGTCAAGTCTGGGTGGTGTCCTGAATCCCCTTGTTGTACCCTTTCTTAACTTCCTATTTTGAGGGCCTCAGTGAAATAGGGCACTAAGACCCAGTGTACTTTGTCTCTCTGTGGGGAGTTCAAAATGAGCCCTTTAGGCATTAGCCTTGCTCTCTTACTCTTGAAAAAAAAAATGCCCCATGCTGGTTGTTAAGCCTGCCCAGCCAGTTTCTCAGACCTTCGCAGATCCTCTGAGTGGTGAGGGGTTGGGACCAGTTAACCCTCACCTGTGGTTGTGCAAGGAAGGGGGGGTTCAGTCTGGGCTACAATAGTCACAGGTGCACAGTTTCCAGCCCACTGCCCTTACAGCACTCTGCAGCCCACACTCTCCACTCTGTGCAATTGCTCCATGTTGGTGCTGATAATCCACCTTGCTTTGCACCCCTTTGATCAATCCATGAGTTGCACTGAGTGGGAGCAAATTGCTCCCACAAGCCTCACTCCTTTTTGGCCTGGCTACTCTGCATGTTAGGTCCCTGACCAACGCGTCTCAGTTCCCCTTTTGAAAAAAGTCTTTGTGGGTGCGACTGCCACTCCAAGCCACTTTCCGGCTTTCCACACACTCCAACTCTCTGTCAAGTCAAGAGTCTGTCTCAGTTACACCCAGTCACAGCCCACCTCTTCTCCTGGCTCCAGGTGCTGCCAGGATCCCCCACCCACTCTCTGGCGCTGTCCTGGCTAGTGACCACTGCCTCAGCTTGGTTGTGCTGCCAGTTGTGTGTGTGCCTGCTGCCTTTTTCTCCACCCCAGTGACTTTACAAGTTCAAGTTGCTTCTGGTGTGGGTCTGTGATTTCCCCACCAGCCTGGTAGGGGAGGGAGCCACTAGGCTGCTATTCCTTACCAGGCTCTCCTCCAGGCTCTCCTTGGATGCTGTCCCCACAGCAGCTGCAGTTTCTGGTGCCACATCTGGGAACTTTCCCTGTCTTCCTATGAAACCACTTTATTGCCCATTTTAAGGAGTCCTGTGCACCAATTTGACTTCCAAACTTCAAATCAGCTAATATTCTGTTGGCTGTTCACTTTCTTTTTCAGAGGATCAGCTAAATGTCTGAGTTGGGTACACGAGCAAGTAGGCTCAGCTCATACCTACTTCTCTGCCATATTCTTCCCTCGGGTAGTATGCCTACATACCTTTCCTATGTTCCTTTTCTAGGTACTGAGGATACAGAGATAACAAAACAGGGAAACTGCCTTTATGGGATTCTTAAGTTAAGTAGGAAGGCAGATAAGTAAGCAGAAAGTTACAAGAGAGAAAAAGAAATGCAGAGGGTTTATCAGGTGGTATCAGTCATTTCCAAATTTCAGTCACTTAACCCAAGAAAAATTTATTTTTCATTATTGAAAAGTCTGTTGCAGATCCAGGCAACTCTTTAGGGCAGTTGTCCTCCATGTGTTGGCTTATCATTCCAGGCTGTTTCAGTCTTATGGTAGCTCCACATCAACATATGTTTCCATGACAACCATGGCAGGCAGGGGCTTGTATGTGACATTAATTATTCCAGCCATAGAAGAACACATATTACTTCCTCCCATAAGCAAAACCAGTCACCTGGTCCCTCCATACTTTAAGTGGGCAGGTAAATGGGAGTGCAATCATCCTATCTTCTTGGGAGTAGAAAAGAGTTGGATGCTGGAATATTTGTAATCTACTGCAGGTAAGGGTAATCCCAGTGTGACAGCCTACTGGACATGAATGCCAGAGATCCTTAAGGCTCTCCCTAAGCTTTGGGATTCTGCTGTCATTTTCAATGATACCTAAAGGGATGGATTTCATACTTGTACCTAGCATGTTCTTCATGAAGAAATTGTACAAGTGAGAGATTTTTCAGGGGTTTCCCTCCAACGGTGTCAAATATCCTTCCTCAGAAGTAGCAAGTTGGTTATCATTCAGAGTACTGCACTGGTCTCTCTCAGAGCTAAGGCAACAAGTTTTCATGACACTCTGCTTTTCTACTTTCTTTGGCCCAGATGCAGTAACTGAAGTGAAGACTGATATCTATGTGACCAGTTTTGGCCCTGTGTCAGACACTGACATGGTAAGTATAGTTCCTAATATAGTAAAAGTGCAAGATGATACAACAGATTAAATAAAATGTATTTTTTTTTCTTGTGGCAGTGCCTTGAAGCTGTGTTTTATGGAGAAGTTTTGTCTCAGATGAATTCCCTACCCTCACCATTGTACATTTAGCCAAATTTATCTCTTGTCCTCCTCTTCCTACCTATTTACATAAAAGCATATACCCTCACTGGTAGTACCAGACCCTTCTTTCCCCAACACATCTTTCAAAAATCAACTTGGCTCCCTATCCTCAGTTAAACTTTCCCTGACCTCTTCCTTCACATTTTTCCATCACCACACACATATTATTACCAATGGGTCATTTGAAGAAAGCATTGTGGTGGGAATTCCCAGTCAAGCAGCCAGTGGTGTTATACAATTCTGTTCCTTTCAAACAGGCCCAGGGGCATTCACTGGGGACATGGACTGACCAGGGTGATGAAAAGTGTTTGGAGGAAGAGTAAAAACCACTTCTGGAAACTGATCCTTCTATAGATGTAAGCAGTGGGAGAGCTTTGGAGCAGATTCAAGGAGTAGGGGAGAACATAGTAGAGCTAGAAAGGGGATGACTCATGAGTCATTTGCAAGGACTTTCCCATCTCCTGTCATTCTCCTTTGCTGCCAAAGCAAAGACTGCAGAAGAGAGTTGAAAGAGGAGACCTCCATCTTAATGGACCACCTGGTTAATATTTACTAAGTGTCAGATATTTGATTGAATAATTTTTATATATGAAAAAAAAGCATTATGTTCTTAGTATGTCTGGCAGTTATTACATACTCAATAAATTTTTGTTGAATTAGTGAATTTTTGTTGAAAATAATATTTTTAGAAGATTTTATTTATTTACTTTTTGAGGGAGGGGAAAGGAGGGAGAAAGAGAGGAAGAGAAACATTAATGTGTGGTTGCCTCTCACATGCCCCCTACTCGTGACCTGGCCCACAATCCAAGCATGTGCCCTGACTGGGAATTAAATCAACAACCCTTTGGTTTGCAGGATGGCACTCAATCCACTGAGCCACACCAGCCAAGGCTGAACATAAAATTGTTTAAATCAGAAAAAATATATTTTAATATATGAAATGTCCATGTTCATTACTTAGATTTTTCTCTGTATCTCTATCATGAGTGAGACACTGCTTAGCAAGGGACGAGGCTTCTTTAAACTTCTTGAGTAAATACAAATGTTTACATAGGGACACGATAGAGTTTTCCCTGTAGGTAATACAGAACCATTCAGTAGATTTGAGTAGGGCAGTAAAACTGTGTTTTGTATTAGAATGATCTGGCATTGTGAACATGATGGACTTCAAGGGGCAAAAGACTACAAGGTAAAATTCATTCAAGCACATTGATTTTTACATGACTCTTCCTTCAATAAGACAAGGTATAGGAGTCACTTAGAAAAACAGGCTAGTTCTCAGAAGAGGGAGTCATGTGTGGTTGTGAGGCCAGTCAAGGGGAAGGTAGAGACCTGAAATTTGTCTTTCAAGTGTGGAATAAAGAGAAGGGTACAAACATATAATAGACTCCATGTATACTCTTTAAGGGCAAGTACCAAGTCTTCCTGGTGTCCCTGGAACTTAATAGAATACTTGACACATAGGGAGAACACAGTGAGGGGAGTGTTTGACATACAAGGGGCAGAGGAGACAGGCCTTTCATAGGGTTAGCAGGAAAACCTTTATGTCTATCTTGCCCCTTCTCAACTTGTTGACTACTCCCACAGCTTAAGATCCAGGTATACATTAAAACTATTGCCAGCTGTTAATTCAACAAGAATTCCTTAGAAGCCAAAATCTGCATTAAGGGGTTCTAGGGACCCCTGTATTCACAGAGCTCATGGGCCATTGGGGGTAATCAGATTCACCAGTGATGGATTAGAATTTTTATAAAAAAGCAACTGAATCTACTGTTTGACTATACACACACATTCACTCTTACTCATGGACCAACATCCACAAATACATTCAGAAAAAGGTACATGCATGTAAGAAAATACACACAGAATAACAGCCCACATGTTATCCTAGGCACTTCATAAACACACATGTGCAAATAGACACCTAAATACAGAGATACTACAAACACACACACACAGACCCTGCCCAAACCAGCTCCTCTCCTTCCTTCTTCCCCCACCCAAGGAGGCACACACCGGTGTTCAGAGGTCTGGAGTCATTTCAAACAATCCAGACTTTCTATCTCTTTTGAAGTTTCATGTTCCTCTTGCTTGTTTTTTTTTTTTTTTTCCTCCTCAGAATTAAGCAGAAGAAACAGAATGGCTATTCATTTTTTAAGGATTTATTTGTTTATTTTTAGAGAGAGGGGAATGGAGGGAGAAGGAGAGGGAGAGAAACATTAATATGTGGTTGCCTCTTGTGCACCCCCTACTGGGGACCTGGCCCACACCCAGGCATGTGCCCTGACAGGGAATCGAACCAGCGACCCTTTGGTTTGCAGGCTGGTGTTCAATCCACTGAGCCACACCAGCCTGGGCTATGCTATTTCAGTATTACAGTTTTCCCAAATTTCCCCCTCTTCCCCACCTCCACTCAGCCCTCCCCATATTCTCAGTCAATCCCCATATCTTTGTCCATGTCTATGTCTCATGTATATACAGGGTCTAGCACAAATAACACCCCTTTTTATTACAAAATCTTTTATTACAAAAGCATAAGCATGTAATTCTGTAACAACAATATCAACTCAAGCACAGCATATGGCATTTTAGGTGAAATATTCAAATTAAAACTATAAATTATTACACTCATATTATGAGCCTGTCCGCCACACTCAAGCAGGCATTATTTCTCTATGGCTGGCTGGACCCTCTATGTTCTTTGATTAATCTCGTCACCTTCTTTTAACCAGTCACCAACTCCCCCTCCCCTCTGAGATCTGTCAGTTTGTTCCATGTTTCTACACCTCTGAGTCTATATTGCTCATTAGTTCATTTTGTTCATTAGACTCCACTTATAAGTGAGATCATATGGCATTTGTCTTTCATTGACTGGCTTATTTCCCTTAGCATAATAGTCTCCAGTTTAATCCATGCTGTCACAAAAGTTGAGTTCCTTTTTTCTTTCTGCTATATAGTATTCCATTGCATAAATGTATCACATCTTTTTTATCCACTCATCTGCTGATGGGCACTTATGCTGTTTCAAAATCTTGGCCATTGTAAATAATGTGGTTAGGAATATAGGGAAGGAATATATATATATATATATATATTGAATTGGTGTTTCAGAATTCTTAACATATATTCCCAGAAGTGTAATTGCTGGGTCAAAAAGCAACTCCATTTTTAACATTTTGAGGAAACTCCATACTGTTTTCCAGAGTAGTTCCACTAGTCTGTATTCCCACCAACAGTCCATTAGGGTTCCCTTTTCTCAACATCCTCGCCAATACTTGTTGTTTGTTGATTTATTAATGATAGACACTTTGGAAGGTGTGAGATGGTATCTCATTGAGGTTTTAATTTACATCTCTCCAATGGCTAATGATGTTGAGCATCATCTCATATGTCTATGGACCCTCTGTATGGCCTCTTTGGAGAAGTGTCTATTCATGTGCATTGCCCATTTTTAATTGGATTGTTTGTCTTCCTGGTGCTTAGTATTATGAGTTCCTTATATATTTTGGAGATTAAATTTTTGTCTGATATGTAATTGGAAAATATGTTCTCCTATACAGTGGGACCCCCATTTTTTCATGATTGTCTCTTTAGCTGTTCAGAAGTTTTTTAATTTGATGTAGTCGCATTTGCTTTTTTCCCTTTGTTTCCCTTACCCTAGGAGATATATCAACAAAAATATTGCTTTGTAAGATATCTGAAATTTTACTGCCTATGTTTTCTTCTAGGATTTTTATGGTATTATGACTTGTATTAAGTCTTTTATCCATTTTGATTTTATTCTGATATATGGTGTAAGTTAGTAGTCTATCTTCATTCTTTTTCAAAATATTTTATTTGTTTATTTTTAGAGAGTGGGGAAGGGAGGGAGACAGAGAGAGAGAGAAACATCAGTGTGTGGTTGCTTCTCACATGCCCCCTACTGGGGACCTGGCCCACAACCCAGGCATGTGCCCTGACAGGGAATCAAACCAGTGACCCTTTGGTTGTCAGGCTGACACTCAATCCACTCATCCACACAAGCCAGTACTCATTTTTTTAAAAGTACTAGTTCAGTTCTCCCAACTCCACTGAATAGAGACTGACTTTACTCCATTGTACACTCTTACCTACTTTATTGAATATGAATTGATCATAAAAGGGTGGGTTTATTCCTGGGCTCTCTGTTCTGTTCCATTAATCTATGCATCTGTTCTTATGCCAGTGAAAGAGTGTTTTGATTACAGTGGCCTCATAATATAGTTTGATATCAGGTATTTTGATCCCTCGAAATTTATTCTTTTTTCTCAAGACTGCTGAGGCTATTTCGGGCCTCTTTGGAGGCCATATAAATTTTTGGAATATTGTTCTAGATCTGTGAAATATGCCATTGGTATGTTAATAAGAATTGCATTGAATCCATAAATAGATTTGGGTAGTATGGACATTTCGATGATGTTAATTCTTCCAATCCATGAACACCATATATGCTTCCATTGATTTGTGTTTCCTTAATTTCTTTTATCAGTGTTCTGTAGTTTTCATAGTACATGTCTTTTACCTTCTTGGATAAATGTAATCCTAGGTATCATGATTTTTCTTTCAATAGTAAATAAGATTGTTTTATTAGTTTTTCTTTCTGATAGTTTGTTATTGGTATATAAAAATGCCATCAATTTCTGAATATCGATTTTGTATCCTGCTATTTTTCTGAATTTATTTATTAGGTCTAATAATTTTTTTTTTGGTGGAGCCTACAGGGTTTTCTCAGTATAATGTCATGTTGTCTTTGAATAATGACAGTTTTACTTTCTCCTTTCCAATTTGGATACCATTTATTTATTTTCCTTGTCTAAT